TTTACTTATTCCTGGAGTGAAGTGTACTACCAACAAAGGATAGCGTTAGGTTCCTTAATGAAGTCACAGGCCCTGGTGGCCGGCTCAGAGCTTAACTTCCTATTTCTGCATTTATGTCTGACATTGGCATTTGTCCTTCAAGCTTTATGGTTGCTTAACTCCCTCGATTCTAGCAGTAGTTCACTGTGCATGTTTGCATGCTGTTGTTTATTTTGTTTTATGGTCATTGGACAATTCCTTTTGTTTCTTGTAAGAGCTCAATATATTTAAAAACAAGTTCTAATATGAATTTAATGCCATCGTAGTGGAGTATTACTGCAGAGTACTATCTTGTTCACCATTCAACCAGAACCAGAATTGACCTCCTCCCATCCATCAAATATTTTGGTGCAAACATGGAACAAGCAGAATCCTTTTCTTTAAAGATGAATGGTAAGGGGATTTTCACCCTTGCCTTGGTGTTGTCAGCACCGCACTCTCCCAAGTGATCTAACCAGCCATCGGTATATAGGGATCCGAACTCGTGGCCTTGGTGTTATCAGCACCACACTGTCCCAAGTGAGCCATGGGCCGGCCCTAAAGCAGAGCCCTTCTGATAACCAGATTGGAACCACTTTCTCTGACCATAGACTCCATTTATTTATTTGTACCAGGGGTGGTTCTCATGGTCACTAACGATCATGTTCTCTCTTAGACTTTCTGGGAGTTCTTTCAGATTACACAGGCTCATTTCTTTATCTCCAAAGATTCTGATGCATTTCCAAGAATGTATCATAAAATTCTATTAATGGGATAATATTATACTTATTACTCTGCAACTTGTTTTTTTGTTCAGTAACGTATCATACTGCATCTCAGGACTTATACTCACCTCATTCTTCTTTCATAACTGAATAGTATTCCATAGTATAAGTCACAGTTTATTGAACAATTTGACTATGATAATCATTTCGGTTGTTTTCAATTTTTTGAAACTTAAACACTGCTGTGCTGTAATAAACACATATGTGCATGTGTGGACATGTGTGAGAGTCAATCTATAGAAAGGATCTCTAAAAATAAATTTATTGGTTTCGAGGGTATGAATATTTAACACTTTGATGGATGTTGCCAACTTGTCTCCCCCAAAAGCCATTAGGGATAGAGGCTACTAATGCTGACTTAATATCCATTTTCCCTAGTAAGATAGTCCCTATTTTGTTTCAGAGTGGTGCCCATGCCTAGCCAAAGACAACATTTCATAGCCTCACCTTCAGCTAAGTGTGGCCACGGGACTACGTGCTGGCAACTGCAGTGTGAGTGCAGGCATNTTT